TGGGGATTCTAATTTGTGTGTTGTTAATTGCTGTCAAGTCGATTCTGACTCGTGGCGATCCCATGGGTGCAGAGCAGCACGGCTCCTTAGGCTTTCAAGGCTGTGACCTTCTGGAAGCAGACTGCAAGTCTTCTGAATCATCTTTGCTGTCGGTGAATGCTGTTGAGTCTGTTCTGACCCACAACGACCCTGTATAGATAAAGTTTCCAAGGAGCGGCTGGTGAGTTTGAACCACCGACCTTGCAGTCCAGCGCATTAACCCACAGCGCCACACCAGGACTCCATATTTAGGAGGGTTCAAACCACCAACCTTTCCGATAGTAGTTGAGCTGACCATTTGCACCACTGAATCACCATAGTTTTCATAGATATGTACTTAATGAACAATCAAAGCTAAATTTTTCGAGCTTCCATGTGAAAGTTTTCTTGAGTACTCAACATACCCTGAATGTCTTAAAGCAGAAACTAAAAGAAACCTGAGAGAAAAAAGGTTCCACAAGGGCATATCACACAAAGGACTAATCTCTAAAATTTCTAGAAAACTACAATACCACTATGAGAAAAAGACAAACAACCCATGTAAAAAATGGGCAGACAACATGAACAGACACTTCACCAAGGCAGACATTCGGGCAGCCAACAAACATATGAGGAATGTTCACGATCATTAGCCCTTGCTGTTGTTAAGTGCTGTTGAATCAGTTCTGACCCATAGTGACCATCAGAGAGATGCATATTAAAACAACAATGAGGTGTCATCTTACCCCTGCATTAGTAGCAAAGTTCAAAAAACAGAAAACAACAAATGCTGGCAAGGGTGTGGAGAGACTGGGACCATTCTACACTACTAGTGAGATTGTAAAATGGTGCAACCACTATGGAGAACAGTATGGTGCTGCCTCAGAAGTTGGAAACAGAAACAGTGTATGACCCAGCAGTGCCTCTACTTGGTATATATCCACAAGAAATAAGAGCCAGAATATGAATAGATATATGCACAGCGATGTTCATCGCAGAACTATTCACAACAGCAAAAAGATGAAGACAGCTTATATGCCCATCAATGGAAGAGTGAATAAACAAACTTTGGCACATACACACAATGGAATACTATGCAATGGTGAAGAATGATGATGAATCTGCAAAACACCCCATAATATGAATGTACCTAGAGGATAGCATGCTGAGTGAAATTACTCAATCACAAAAGGACAAATATTGTATGAGACCACTATTGTAAAAACCCAAGACAAAGTTATCAGGCTAAAAGGAAGATTCTCTTTGATGGTTACCAAGGGTGGGAGGGAAGGGAGAGTAACTCACTGGCTAAAGGGTTGTTGTTGTTAAATGCTGTCAAGTTGATTCCGACCCATAGCAACCCTGTGTAGGGTTTCCAAGGAGCAGCTGGTGAGCTTGAACCTCTAACCTAGCAGTTCAAACGGCTTTGAAATCTGGCACATTAACCCACAGTGCCACACCAGGGCTAGAGGGTAGGCACATGTTAACTCGGGTGATGGGGAGTGCACTCTACAAGAGGGTGGCTGGCAGAAGAATGATGAAGACAGGTGAAGACACAGGGAGGTATGCAAGGGCTAAAGGAGATAGAGGTAAATAGTGTTACATACACAACCTCGGAACAACAGTGTTCTGTGGTACGTACATGGACAGATATACAGGCTGAAAAGCTATGAGAGGGAGTGGGAATATACCCACAAATACATGAGCGTTTAAGAGAGGATGTTTGTGTATGGGTATTTACCTTCACTGCAAACACACTATGAATGTGGTAGAGACGACAACAAGCAAAGTAATGAAAACTTCTTAGCTATCATCAAACTTCTTAAGGCCATGAGTTGCTGAGTCTGGGGGCTCAGGGCCATAGTCCCAGGGGACACCGTGGCCAATTGGCACAACATAGTCCACAAAGACAATGTTTTACATCCTACTTTGGTGAGTAGCATCTGGGATCTGAAAATCTCATTTACCCAGCTATAAAAATGCTCAGTATTTTAGTATATGTCTGTGATGTGTCAGCTTGGCTGGGCAATGATTCTCTGGTTTGGCCTTTAGGGAGTGATGTAACTGTTCCCCATGATGTGGTCTGATGTGATCAGCCTGATGTGAATGACGGGGCTAGGGTGAGATTAACACCCTGAGTCTGGTCACAGCCCTGATAAAATATAAAGGGAGTCCCCCTGGGGGTGTGGCCTACATAAAATATATACAGAGATCTTGGCGCCTCTCAGTAGCTTTTGTTCACTCTGGATCCTGTACCTGGCTCTCATCATATGACCTCCGGCTCTTTGGACTTGAGCCAACAGCCTGCCACCTCGGGATTAGCCTCTGCAACCCATGATCCAGCAGCCTGCTGTCATGTGGGTCTCTGCAGCCCCTTCAGCTACAGGAGTCAGGAGAAGCTTCTAGCCTGATACCTCAGCCACAGACTAGGTACTTGTCAACCTATACAACCATGTGAGTAATTTCCTTCAGACAAATCTCTCTAACTACATACATAAATAAGCTTTACTGATTATACTTCTCTAGAGAACCCAGCCAAAGGCTATGTTCTCCCAGATTTTTTGGTGTTATCTATTTGGTTTTATTATTGGGTTATCTTTTTAAAAATTGTACAGAATATGCTTAATGGTTGCAAAATATCCCATCATATAAGTTAATTGAACACACAATAATATGTTTTCCAAGCCTAATTACCCAACAAATACCACCTGGGAACACTTTTTTTAATGCAGTTTCTTGGGCTCACCTACAAAATAAGAATCTCTAGAAATGACTCCAAGGACTCTTCCCCTATGATTGGAATGTAGTCATTTAATTAGCCCACCTAATTAATTAATGCATACATCATCTACTTAATCCACTATCGTGGATATCAGATTGCTTCGAAATGTTTTGTATGATCAACAGTAATTTCATCTCAAACATCCTTGCAGGATGCACATATAAAGTTATATCTGAAGATACTCAAGTGCTGTTTGCTTTTTTAAGATGATTTTAGTGACCCTGGGAACTGCGGACTAACTGCAGCTCCAGGGGTGCCCATTCCACGACATCAACACAATGAAGCCAAAAATGGAGGGAAGACTGGCAGTCATCCAGGGCAGCCTTGCCTTTAAGACGGGGTCAAGTCCTGGTGTGGCACAAGGTCGCGGTTCAAACTTAGCAGCTGCTTCTCAGAAACCCTATCCAAGGTCGCTCCGAGCCAGAGCCTGCTCGACAGCACTTAACAACAACAACAACAACAACAACAACTGGAGTTAGAGTCCTAATAACCCTAGAAGAGCTTTCAGAGCCTGTCTTCTTGCAGACATCCAAATCACAAAGGTTCTGCTCCAAAGTGCCCTCTTGTGGTTTAGCACTGAAATTGCTTAGCTCATCGCTGTCTCAAGCTGCTATTTTAAAATACGTTCCAACACCCTAAGGATACGCAGGAGTGCTTTCAATAACTTTGTCCTAACTATTCCCAGGCATCTGCAAGTACCACAAATGTTTGTTTAAATGTGGTTTCCACCTCACTGGGCACCTGTATATCTGGATGAGTCATCTCACTGGCATTCAATTTCAGGGTCTCTATTTAACAAGAATTTATGTTTAGGGCTCCTGGTGTGGCGGCACTGTAGGATCAGCACTGGCCTGCGAACCAAATGGTTGGCAGTTCAAACCCACCTGCTGCTCTTTGGAAACCCTATACAGGGTCACTACAAGTCGGAATCAACTCGACAGCACTTCACACCAACAATTTATGTTTAAGATCAAAATGGCATCAGGTCACCAAGCAAGGCAGTTCTGAGAGCACTGTTTCTCAAGCTATGGTCTGGACATACTCCCAGCATTCCCTGAGAATTTCCGCCCCTGTAATAAAAGAAGTATATACAGTACTCTGGGTTGAGAACCACCGACTTAATCTCCCGTACAGCACCCAGCCTGGCCCAGCAAATAAACTACCGTTCCGGACAACACTTCTGAGAGGCTGCACCTACCACACTTGGACCCCAGGGTTTCAAGAAAAGCTGAATTGCAAAAAAGCTCAGAGATCATTCAGTCGGACTCCATTCACAGAATAGATTGGAAAAGTAAGGCCCACAACTAGTTAGCAGCATGTTGTTGTTGTTGCTAAGTGCCGTAGAGTCACCTCTGACTCGGCAACCCTATATAGGGTTTTCAAGGAGCGGCTTGTGAATTTGAACCGCCAACCTTGCAGCTCAAACCGACCTTGAAGTCGAAAGCTTATCCTAAGGCACCACACCAGGACTCATTAGCAGCATGCTTTTGTTCAGGGCTGACTCATAGCGACCTTGTATAGGGTTTCCGAGGAGCGGCTGGTAAGCTTGAATAGCCAACCTTGCAGTTCAATCTGACCTTGCAGTCCAGCGCTTTACCCACAGCGCCGCACCCTAGACAGTTACAATCTAAGCCTCCTATTTCAATATCAGTTCAAGACCACAGAGGATGCTACCTCGCCCAATCTGTAAAGAACACTGATTGGAGGACACAGATTAGATCCCATTCCCAGCCATCAGCATCGCCGTCCCATTTCTGCCCAGTCGCGGTCTCCAACCTCCGAGTAACATCCAGCGCTGCTCGGCTCGCTAGGCCTTAGACCTAAAAGGCAGTCCACACGCCCTAACCCCAGCCCGACTGCTCCTAGCCTTTCCCAACCTGCCAAGCCGGGACCCGGCAGAGCCGCGCGGAACCACCGGGACTCGCGCTTGCTGCGCTGCAAAATCAGCTCTGCGGCGCCTCAGCCACGCGAGGTCTGCGCGCGTCCGTGACGTCACGGGAGGCGCCATCTACCAGCTCAAAGTGCCTCTGATTCGACGGCAAGTAGAAACGTGTCAGTCTCTCGGTGACAGGTTCCTCACTGCCTCGGGGGAAGGAACCTCTTCGCCAAAAACTTGAAGAGAGAGGATCTGCTAACCAACGACGGCTGAAGAAAGCAGAGAGAAAGGTAAAGACTGAGCGGCGGCTGAAGAAGACGTCATCACAGAGCACCGGAAGCGATCGAGAATGAAGAGTAAGTGGGGTTCAGGGCCACGAAGAATTGGAGAGGGGTGGGAATTTAAGGGTCGGGGACTTGGTGCTGGTGGGTGAGATGGTTCTAGAGTACTTGTGAATGCAGAGTCGGAACGGCACTGCTTAAGTAAGGGATTCACCACCTTACTTAAGAGAAACCGAATCCCAGAGCGCGAGCTTGATACGGTGGTTGAAGTCTAGTTCCCCGTGCGGGCTGCTCCGTGCTTGGTGTGTGACTCTGGAGGAGAGTCCAAGGCCTTGGGGGACCGTAGTCAAGCATGGGCGCCTCTCCGCGACCCTGTTTCACCTACTGTAAGGGAATGCTGCCTGCCCAACCTGTTGTGAACGACCCTTGTCATGTGTAAAGTGCGGGGAACATGCTGGGGAGGGATGTGCCAAGGAGGAAAGAAGCACCTAGGGTAGTTGTAGGCAAGTGAGTATGACACTGTTAAGACAGGACTTGGGCTAGGATCGGGTGCTGGCAGGTAACGAGTGCTCACAAACGTGTGTCCGATTGCAGAAATGACTCAAGTCTCAGCTAAACACTTATTACAAGCGAATCCTGGAGTCCCATGCTTTACAAATCGGTTGTGATCCTTATGTCGCTCTGAGGGATTACTAGACCCCATAGCCACCTGGTTTGTAGGAATCCAGGGAAGGAGAAAGGAACTGGGGTAGACTTTATGGATAGATGGTGATGTTAAGTGCTGTGGAGTCGATTCAGACTCATAGCTATCCTGTATAGGGTTTCCAAGACTAAATCTTTGCAGGAGCAGAAATTCTTTCTCCCGTTGAGAGGCTGGTGGATTCGAACCACTGACCCTGTAGTTCTCAGTCCAGTGCTTCTTGTTGTTGTTATGTGCCTTGGAGTCAGTTGCTGCTCATAGTGACCCTGTACAGGGTTTCTGAGGCTATAAATCCTTACCGTAGCAGAAAGCCTCATCTTTCTCCCGCAGAGCAGCTGGTAGTTTCGAACTGCTGACTGTGAGATTAGCAGCCCAATTCGTAACCACTACGCTACCAATCCAGTGCTTATGCAAACCAAATTTTCCTGTCATTTGACCCTTAAACTAGACCTGTGATCACCTCATATTCTGCCCTCAATGACACAGTTTTCTACTTCAGACAAATGAAACAAGAATATAGAGGTTTCTAAAAGATGAAGCCACATTAATCAATGTATATTTTGAGTTTATAAAAAGATTATATGACACCATTAATTATATGATACATTTCAATTTCCTAGATGTTAAAATGGGGGGGGGGAGTTTTTATATCTTACAATCACCAACGCATCAGTTCTCATTCGCAGTACGTATGTTCTATAAAATCACAGCAGAAACTAAATTGGGGAACACTGAATCACAGTACCATGGGGAAATTCAAGGCTGTTGTTGTTAAGTGCTGTAGAGTTGGTTCTGACTCATAGCAACCCTGAATACGATTTCCAAGGAGCAAATGGTGAGTTTGAACTGTCGACCTTCAGATTCAAACCAACTTTGTGGTCAAGTGCTTATCTTACAGTGCCACACCAAGACTCCTAAATTAGGGGACAGTGAATCACAGCATCTAGGGGAAATAGAAGATTGGGGTTCCGTAAGTCTCTGGTCACAACATTTTTGCCAGCCATTAAGCATATAACTTTGTTTTATATGTGTTTCATTAATATTGAACCCATGGCCAGCAGAACTGTAACTACAGTGCATGTGCGGCGTTCACGGCTAAGTATTTTCTCTGTGAAGCCCATCGTGGCCTTCTTGTACTTGGAGGAACAACTGACAGCCAGCTGGGAATGAGAGCGACTCAGATTTTTGCTGCTCTGCACATGACTGCAGAAACACCAAGAGTATTACTATTGAGATTACAAATACATTTTAGGAAAAGTAAGTGAATCCACCAATAGAGAATCTATGAATAATGAGGATTGACTCATCTGTGGCCTGGACAGCAATTTCACACTGACTCAAATGAGTTACTTCAGAAGGTTGTTTTGAGCACCCATCTTCTAACCTGGGTGGTCCCTTGCGTGCAATAATAGTGGTGGTGGTGGTGGTTTTGTGCCATGGAGTCAGTTCCAACTCATAGCCAGCCTGCATAGGGTTTCCAAGGCTGTAAAGCTTTCTTTCTTTTTTTTTTCTTAAATGTTTTATTGTGAATTATGTGGTAGTTTACATGGGAGAACATTAGTTTTACATTCATTCTATCATATATCATCTCATTGCCGTGGTTACAGTCCCCTCCATGCAATCCTTCCCCCGTACCCCCCAGGTCTTCAGCATACAGTTGCTCTCCCTCTCTGGATCTAAAGTCTCCAGCTGCTCCATTGCTCCATGTCATCATCTCTGGCTCCATTTGAGGCATCACTGCTTCTCTGGGTAAGGGTTGTAAATCTTTATGGGAGCAGAAAGCTTCATCTTTCTCCCATGGAGCAGCTGGTAGTTTCAAACTGCTGACTGTGAGATTAGCAGCCCGATTCGTAACCACTGTGCTACCAGAGCTCCTTGCATCTGGAAACTTGTTAGAAACACAAGCTGCTGGAGTAGAGTTTCAAGAATCTACATTCTAATAAGATCACTTGGATCCCTACACATTAATACTTGAGCAGCCCTGTTTTAAACCACAGCCTTGACACTTCTGGAATAGACATGGCCAGAGGGCAGAGAAGAGGCATCTGAGAAAGCTGGGATGCTCCACTCTTCTGTAACACTGTTCATTCTCCCATACCCAACTAAGCTAGTTATTGTCATCGTTGGAAAAGTCTTGGCTCTCTGGCCAAACCCAACGGGAATTGACAGCTGCTTTTTTGTTGTTTTTTTCCCCTAGGTGTGATCTACCATGGCCTTGCGCAGAAAGAGGCAAAGGAGTCCGATGTTGAGGTATGGTGCTTACAAGGCGATCTGAGAGTGGCACATGTGATAGCAAAGATGGCTCTGTTGCTTTGAAGCCTCTGATGATGTTTTAGATGTTCTTTCTGGTAGACATATTGGGCTCAATCATGGTCAGTTCTGATGACCTGTTTCTTTACACTGGCCTCCTTCCCTGCTGTGCCAAAGTTAAGTTTGATCAATTGGGACCTCTTTTTTTTTTTTTTTGATACAAACACTATTAATCTTTTGAACTTAGCAAATAATGAGCATTTCTATATATGAGGGTAAGTCTAAAAGTATTGCTATAAAATCATAGAAACCTTTATTAAACAATAATATCAGAATGTGAAGCTGTTGTGTCTCTGTAGATCCTCCCCCGGATGATATTTCTTCAAGGGCCTCACACCATGTTCCTTTTAAATGTTCTTTGAGTTTGGAAAACAAAAACAAGCAATCTGAAAGCGCAAAATCAGGCTTGTAGGGTGGGTGGGGTGTGGGGTAAGGTCCCAATGAACTTCTCATAGGACGGCTCTTGCCGTGCTCAAAGGCTTGTCATCATGGGAAAGGGTTCCTTGGTACAACTGTCCTGGCCTTTTTCTCACTGATGCAGTTCTCCTTTCTCTTACAACTGCTTCATGATAAGCCCCTATGGCCATCCAGTGTCCTCTGAGAAACTATCCAGATGACCCCTTTGGCATCCCCAAAATCAGTCATCATAACCTCTGAGCTGCAGATCTCCTCAGAGGCCACTATTATTTTTTTGGTTTTGTTTTTAATGTTTTATTGTGAATTATGTGATAGTTTACGTGTGAGAACATTAGCTTTGCATTCATCCTATCGTATATATCGTTTCATTGCCATGGTTACAATCCCTTCCATGCATCATCAACCAATCAACCATCTCTGGGTCTAAAGTCCCCAGCCGTTCCATCTCTCCACGTCATCGTCTCTGCCTCCATCTCTGGTGTCACTGCTTCTCTGGGTAGAGTCCCACTGTCTGCAGAGGCCACTGTTTTGATTGGATCTTTTTTTTTTTTTTTTAATTATTTAAAAGCACTCTAAGACAAGTGCATTACTGAGACAAACTTGTCTGCAACTGTCCGTTAATGGTAGAGACATGTTTAAACATGTTTTGTTTGGAATAAACCTGTGTGTGTGTGTGAGAGAGAGAGAGAGAGAGAGAGAGAACTGGTAGCAGTACTTTTTGACTTACCCTGATACCTTAAAAATTGTCATTTTTCTAACCACACATTTGTAATACAACTTTTCACAATCATGAATACAGTAAATTAAAATGTTCCTAATATTTAAACATTATAAAACTATTTAATTGTTTAAATTCTACGTTAAAAGCACAGTTCCAACATGTCAGAGCCAACATGTCGTGTTTTATGATACAGACTTATAGTGGGTACTCACCTCTGGGTCTCCTCTCAGCCTGAGTCCATTCGGTTCCTGACCCCTTGCCATTTGGCATGACCTCTTGCCCAATTCTGGCAAATGGGCTGAGAACAGAAGTTAAATGTGTTTCTTTGGATCCAAAGCACTAAATTGCTTATAAAAATATTAATAATAAGCTAATGCTTCTTTTTTGGTACGTGTGTATGTGTTTGGGGGTGGAAGTTTAAAGAGCACATTACATTTTCATTCAGCAATTCATACACCTTTGTTTCATGAAACTGATTGCCTGCCCTCCAAGGTAGTGGCACTCTTCCCACGTTTTCCCTGTGTTTCCTGTCTCCATCCGTCCGTCTTTCCTGCCTTATTCTGTCTAATGCATGCTCCTGGTACTACTGCCCTCCTTATAGGCCTATCTCTTATTTGGCTGAAGGAGCCCTGGTGGCTTAGTGGGTAAACACTGGACTGATAACTGCCCGGTCAGCGGATCAAACCCACTAGCTGCTCCTTGAGGGAAAGATGAGGCTGTCTGCCCCTGTAAAGACTGAAAACCTTGAAAAGTCATGGAAAACCTCGGGAGCAGCTCTGCTATGTCCCGTAGGATTGCTCGGAGCCGGAATCGACTCTACATCAGTGAGTCAGTTGCTGGTTGTTTGGCTGAAAGTTGAATCATGGGAGTGAGAGTTCCATTCAGAGGGACCGTAGGCTCCGGAGTTCCACCGTCTGATTCAGATCAGTTGTTAAATTGCGATCAGTCAGTGCTAACTCATAGTGTCCCTTTACAGGGTTTCCCAGCCTTGCAGTTCAAACTGACTTTGTAGTCCAGTGCTTATCCTACAGCACCGGGTCTTTTTTATGATTTTAAGTTTTGTTCCGTATGTTTCTCCCAGTCTCTCCAGAACCTTCTGTGGTGATCCCTTTCAGAACAGCTAGTAATAGTAGCAAGTACGGCTTTAGCTCTTGTGCTCGAGAGTTGTGGAGGCCGTGGTTTGTGTGGTCCAGTGGTTCTTTGGATGAATTGTTTCCACGTGTCGTTGATTTCCTTTTCCTCTTCTTTGCTCTGGATGGGGAGAGGCCAGTAGCTGCATCATGGATGGCCACTCACAAGCTTCTAAGAGCCCAGTTGCTTACTCACCAAAGTAAGGCTGTAGAACATTGACTCTGTGCACTTGTTGTTAAGTGCCGTTGAGTCGGTTCCGACTCATAGCACCCCTGTATAGGGTTTCTGAGGCTTTTTTATAAATCTCTGTGGAGCAGAAAGCCTGATCTTTTTCCCACAGGGTGGCTGGTGGCCTCAAACCACCTACCTTGTGGTTTACAGTCCAGTGTTTACTATATAGAGCCACCGCATCCCTTTATGCCAGTTAACTTTGATGTCCCTCAAGACTGTAGTCCTGAGCCCCCAAGCCTAGCAATTCGTTCTTTCAAGATGTTTGGTTGCGGCTAGGAAGTTCTCATGACTTTGACCCTCGTATGCACAACTATGTTCATGGATATACTTGCAGCACATGTAAATACACATGTGGAAATACCTCTGTCATAGCTCTATAGATTCATGGGTGCAGCCCCTTTGCCTTCTTATCTATAGATCCTCTCATTGTTACTGTTAATGCAGGACTGTGTGTGTGATACTACTTACCTTTGTTGTCTGTAATTCTTGTGCTCCTCCCTAATTGGGACCTCTTGATCCTCTGTCACCTTCCACTACACAGGGGACGCCAGACCATGTTCACCTGAAACTAGCCCTGGTGAATCCCGTCATTTGATCTTGTCACTGTGCTCCCCTTACAAGCAGGCAAATCACATTTCATAACTAGAATTGAAGCGGACGCTTCAAGCATGCTTTGTCAGTTGAAGCTCCACTTAAATCCATAATGAGGGAGTTAGCTGAGGTCAAGATTTTGGAAGCTATGTCTTTATTTGTCTTCTCTATGAAAGAAGACCACTTGGGTATTTTTAAAACTCAAATCATTCTCATGTGGTCAGGGTGGTGGAGAATCTGAACCAACTTCGTAAGTGTCTGAAGGCCCAGGGCCTAAGCAGCCACAGTTACTGTCATCCTAAGTACACGCTGCCTCGAGGATGATGTGGGGCCCATTGGACATTTTCCTACTCTTTCCCCCACAAAGAAGGAAGGGGGGCTGGGTTACTACTGAGAAATCAGCCTGAAGGCATTTACAGCCGGATTAGTTAAAAAAAAAAAAAAAAAAGGAAAAAAACCTACCAGGGCCAGGTCTGACTGGGCTCAGAGTAGAATTGTGCTTCGTAGGGTTGTCCAGGCTGTGACCTTTCAGGAGCAGATGTCCAGGCCTCTCTGCCAAGCCACTTTCAGTTAACAGTGCCCGGGTGCCCAAGTGCCCTTAGCAGTTCTATCCCATGAGTGCTGCAGGAGCACGTCTCTGGTTGGGTCACCAAACCACGTCCACAGCTGTAGACCGTGCCGTGGATGCATTGTCACCCCTGAGGCTCGGCCCAGCCCCGAGCAGTAGCTTTGTTCTCTGGTGTTCCGGTCATTTCCCTGAAGGTCAGGGCCTGCATCTACTGGGAGTCCCTAGCTTTCCCTGCGTCCGTCCAGCTTTCCTCCCTGATGGAACATGCTCTTTCCTCATCAGAACAACCTCAGAGAAGCAGGTTAGGAAGTCGTATTTGGCTTTTGGGATTCCATGGCAAACACAGTCCTGACTTAGCATTGATTGGCCTTGCACATCTTCACCGCTATGGACACTGGGTGTGGGAGGCACGTGAGCCTCGGGGAAGGCAGTCTCCTCTGCTGCCCGGGCCAGAGCAGTGAGCAGCACCCATGTCCTGTAGCCTTTGGGAGGCCGTCGGGCCGAGGCCTTCGTGAGGGCCTTCCTGAAGCGCAGCATGCCTCGCCTGCCCCCAGAAGCCCTCGAGGACCGGCTGCAGCGCAAGGCGGTCATCCTGGAATACTTCACTCGCCAGAAGCGCAGGGAAAAGAGGAAGAAATCCAAAGGCCTCTCTGCCCGGCAGAGGAGGGAGCTGCGGCTCTTTGACATTAAGCCAGAACAACAGAGGTAAGCTGGGCCTTTACTGTGCCTTTCTACTCCCAAGACTTGAGCTTTCTCCCCAGAGTGGACTTTGGGAGCCACAGCCCAGCTCCACTTACACTGAGGCTGCCGCTCCCTCTTCTACCACAAGGGGGCAGCCTTCCTTTACCAATTGGCACTATGTTTGGGTTTGGCTTTTAATAACAAGACATGGTGAGACTGGGGACTTGGATTGTTTGGCATCAGTCCTAGCCTTAACTAATAAGATCCATGCCATAAGTGAGGCGGTTGCCCTTGGCAACAAGCTATTTGTCTATCAGCTTTTTCTTAGAAAAGAGGAATAGATACTGCTGGCTTGCTCTCTCTTTATATATCTGTAATCTTTGTACCTTTTAATAGCACTAGTCAGAATCACCCACAGGGATTTACTGCCAAAGAAATATGCTGCCCACACGTTTCAGGAAGTTTCTGAAAGGGATGCCTCACTCTCCTGTGGGAGGACTCGTCCCTCCCTTGGCTAACTCTCTGTTCCTCGTTGGCCACAGTTCTGAGTCTGTGTGTTTTAGGACTGCCTGTGGGCTTTTGTTTTAGAGATGTCTAGTTAAACAGCCTCCCACATTTCAGAAGACAAAGTGTAGCCCTTTGCCTATGGCCTCTCTCAGGAAATCAGCTGGGCTTTGGGTGGAGGAAGGGGCAGCTGCCTGCCTGGTTTGCCTGGCTGGGTGTTGTCCTTACAGGTGGAACTCCCTTTGGGTTTGGGCTTGTGATTGTCATTTCTTGATCCAACAGCTTCATGTAAACAGATTCCCCCAGAGGCTCCAGGGCGACAGCAAGGGGCCCAGAGGAAATCCCTTGGGGTCCCTGCTCCTGCCCTCTCTCCACTCACCTTCCAGCAGACCTGTCGACTCCCATGGGAACCTGCACAACTGTCATAATGTCTGTCTACTGAGGACTTACTAAGTTCAATCTCATGGAACAGAAAACTTCAAGCTAAGAGGGCCCCCCCAAGCCTGAGTCGGTTCCTCTCTGAAGAGAATCCAGATGAGCGCCACCTTGTGGTCTGAGGTTGTTGCTTATGCTCCCACCACCCCAGTGCCTCCAGCCCAGCTCAGAGGCTAGCACAGGCTCAGCCTCGAGAGGGCGCCGCCAGTGAGGACCCTGAGGGCCGGCCGATGAGGCCCTTGGTTTCAGCTGTGGAATCAGAATTTGCACCAGTGCCCAGTGGTTCCTCGGTCCTGGTTCTGGGTTGGCTTTGAGCCAAGTTCTGTGCTCTTGAGGGGCACCCTTTGGACGCTGTAACTCCAAACTCAAACCTATCTAACTTTTTCCCTGTTTCTGACTTTACCACAGGTACAGTCTGTTTCTCCCCCTACATGAACTCTGGAAGCAGTACATCCGGGACCTGTGCAATGGGCTCAAGCCCGACACGTGAGTAGAGTTTCCAAAGTCTCGCACTTTGGGGCACTCCTCAAGTCTTGACGGTCTGGGTTGTAAAGGTAGCTGAGACTCCTGCCAGTCGAGTTGTCTGTCTGACCACAGAAGTGTGTAGGCCTGTTTGTTCTCTCAGAACTTTCTCCTGGAATCAATTGGGGGTTCTGTTTACCTTGCAGGCAGCCTCAGATGATTCAGGCCAAGCTGTTAAAGGCAGATCTTCATGGTGCCATGATCTCAGGTAATTGGCCCAAGAGCACGTGATCGGGATCCCGTTCCTCACTGTGGCTCCTTGTGGAGAATCAGCCATGTTCCTGGCCACGTGGATATGAGTGAGCCATGCATCTTTGCTAATTTCCTGGATCTCCCCCCGGCCAGCAGTGCAGAGAGCTAGGGGGTTATAGTTTCCTAGCCAGTTTGAGTCACTGTTGGACACACTCTACGTGGTCTCTGTGCACCTTCCGAGCTGACACCTACAGCCAAATCCTTCCCTGGAGCTCTGGGCTCACATGCCACTGCCCCCGCCACAGCCCGAGCTCTGTGGAGGGATCTACCCACCTCAGTCAGTTCACCCTGGGGTCTCAGACCAGAAACCTGGGAGGCATCCAGGTGTCTTCCTTCATGATGCCCAACTTCCAATCCATCCTGTCACCCAGCACCCGAATCTCAGCCATCCTCATCCTCCTGGGTTGCCCCTAACCCTCTCCCTGACTGAGCAGCTAGGGTGAGGCCTTTAGAAAGGACTCCCATCATGTCCCTTCCCTGCTTAAACCCCTCCAAGGACCCCCATGGAATTAGTACACTTCAGCCTCCTCGGTGCCTTCCTCAGGTTCCAGACCTGACCGCACTGGCCTGCCTTGGCCTCTGCCTAGAGCATCATGCTTGCTCGCAGGCTGACGTCTTCTCTTGATCCAGGCCCCTGGCCCGGTGTCACTGCCCCGTACCGGCCCCAGCCCAGTGCACGCCCTGTTCTGATGGCGCTCATCACTGTCAGAGACTTAGCCGTGTCAGCTCCCAAGAGCAGTGCGGGCTCAGAAGGAGATTGTGGGATAGGGGAGGGGCTGCTGGTGGCCCTGCCGAGGGATGGAGGTCAATTCTGATCTTCCAGGTGAGACTTGGCTTCATCAGGCCGCCGGATCATGGCCCTCGGTGGTACTCTGGTGGCAGTATGTGGCCTCTTGACTCCAGAACCCTGCTCCAAGGCTTTCCATGGCTACACAGCCTGCAGACCCTACAGTGCCCTGTAAGAAGCAGCGTGAAGCTGCCATTATCCGGGGCCAGGGATTGGGAAACCAGGCTCTCATCCAACCTGGTCCCTGCCCAGCTGTGCAGCCCCCAGCATGCCCGACCCCAGTGCTGCCTTCTTCCTCCGCCAGCTCAGAGGGTAGCACCTGAGCCCCCAAGCCTCACAGGCCTGGTTGGCTGCTGCTTCCCAAGCCCCCAGAAGCCCAAGCCCTGACCAACCCTTTTTCTTTGCAGTCACAAAGTCCAAATGCCCCTCTTATGTGGGCACTACGGGAATCCTCCTACAGGAGACAAAGCACGTTTTCAAAATTATCACCAAAGAAGACCGCCTGAAAGGTACACAGCCGTGTCTCTGAAGGGCCGTGGCCGTGGCTTCCCCAGCTGCTCTGTCAGCCCTTAACTTAGGGCTTCAGGGAGCCCGCTGAGCCCACCACGCTCCCTAGAGGCATTTGCAAGTCCGGCCAGCAGCTGCAGCCAGAAAAACCAAAAGGCTGGGCCTCTTGACTCCCAAGATAGGACCCCTCTACCTACCCAAAGGGAGTCCCCAGGTAGCACAAGTGGTAAAGTGCATAGCTACTAGCCAGAAGATTGGTGGGCCACACCCACCCAGAGACACCTCAGAAGGCACACTTGGCTGTCTGCTTCTGAAAGGTCACAGTGTTGTAAACCCTGTAGAGGAGTTCTGCTCAAGTCCATGAGCTGCTGTCTGCCCAAGGAATGTAGTCACAGGCCAGAGGACCACACCGTGTCCGTGGTGGTGACGATTGGGCTTCCAAGGACACACGTACAGGCTCAGTACCCAGGCAGCTAGGCTCTAGCAGGGACTCCGGACAGCGGGCTCAGTATCCGGGCAGCCCCACCCTGCCTTGCCCACCGATCCACAGATTACAAAACCAGTTGTTGGAGAGTGTTGTTGCTGTTGTTTTTAAATTTTAAGCCTGGTTTTTTCTTGCTGCTTTCTTCTGTTTTATAGCATATTCTTCTCTCATTTTAAACTCAGAAGATGGGGTACAAGGTTCCCCACTGAGCATAAAGCCAAGAGCCCCTCTGAAAGTCTGTAGGCAGAACTTTTTGTGGGAGTTTCTGGTTTTGAGAGTTTGATTATAGCCTTTTACCCTGAAAAATGATGTTAACTTACATTTAAAATGTGAATAAACTGGCCTTATAGCAGGATAACCCTAACCCTAACCCCACCTTTCATCTCTGTGGCCTCCCCATTTCCTATTAGCTTAATCTTTTAAATACAAACATGTTGTGAATAATATTCTGCATAAAGTGAAGTTACCTTGAGGAGGTTTTTTAAAGCTTACTTTCCCCTGCAGTTATCCCTAAGCTGCACTGTGTGTTCACCGTGGAAATCGATGGCTTTGTTTCATACATTTACGGGAGCAAATTCCAGCTTCGGTCAAGTGAGCGGTCTGCGAAGAAGTTCAAAGCAAAAGGCACTATTGACCTGTGAATTCTGTGCTGCCAAAGGCTCACAACGGCAGAAAATTGGAAACAGCCTGAAAGAACTGATGAAATGAGATCTGACTAGAGACCACCCTGCCGGTGGACCATCGGTGAAGGGCAGTTTGGGCCCGTGAAGATACTCACAGTGTAACAGGTGAAGAAGTCGGGAGCAGCGCTGGAACTGTCTGTACTGTCTTTCTTTTTGTATAACTTAAAGGAAAAAATGTGCAACAAACACCCCAGTATCAACACTGCTTGTCCTGACTAGTGAGATTATTAGAGTTTTAGTTCTGTCTCATACTTTTGACTACTTTGTGATGAATCTGTTGTTTTTATGATAAATGTAAACATATACGTGGGCATCCAGATGCTCCAGATGAAAGGACGATTCATGCAATTCCCCAGGCTGGAAGGGCAGGGGAGTCCCAGAGTTGGACTTGGCTGTATCCAGCACTGCCTTTCCCAGTGTACACTGCAGTATTTTCAGTTCTGCCTGCCATTGAACTTTCCCAAGGCTGCCTCTGCTCCTGTGAGAACACTGGGGAATGGGTGGTGGTGTGGAGACTCACTCAGTGGCTGGGCTCTGGCCACCTCAAGCCTTGCTTGTCCGTGCTGACTGAGGTGCAGGCAGCTTCACCCACGCTGGCCTCCTTCCTGAATCTGGCCAACAGAAAGGAAAATCAGACACTCCCAGCTCCTCCCACGGGCCGGCCTTCTAGGAAAGCCGAAGTCCTCCACGCCACAGCTTAGTTGACCTCCGTCTTCCGTTTTTGCTGCTAAAGGGCTTGATGAGCCTTCTAGTCACAGGGAGCCCTGGTGGTGCTGTAAGGTAAGCATCGGACTGCTCAACACAAGGTCAGCAGTTCAAACCCACGAGGCTTTCTGCTCCCATATCCAGGGTCACTTTGAGTCAGAATTGACTGGATGGCATTGAGTTTTGAGTGAGCCCTTTGTGCAAGGCGCTGATAAGGCCAGCATGAGAACAGGCTGGGAGTGATAACACAGAGAGGTTGTGCCCTGGGCAGGCAGACAGAGGCAGGCCTTCCCATGTCTGGTGTTAGGAAAGCCTCATGGGCCCCAAGCATGACTCAAGCACCTGCTGCCGTCCTTTGCTGACTGACAAGGTGAGGGCAGGCCCTCTGCATGTTTTCTCCACCATACCTGGAGACACCACAGCACCAGGGTTTGTGTTTCACTCTGTCCTGTTCTGGTTCTACACAGATACAGAAGGAGGTGAAAATACAAACTTTTACAACCCAAACCAGGTGCTTTGGAGTCAGTTCTGACTCCTAGTGACCCATGTGTGTCACAGGTGAACTGTGCACCATAAGGTTTTTCTTTCAAGGCACCTCTGGGTAAACTTGGACCTCTAACCTTTCAGCTGCACACTCAACCCCAGCGACTCAGTGACCGGAGTCTCAGGACGGTTCGAGTCCAAGTCCCAACTGCTGCCATCGGAGCACGTGAGGGCCCTGAAATCCTAGCGCCATCTCCCACCGGGTCCCCTGACTCAGCAGCTTACCCCAGAGTGCAGCCATCTGAGTTTGACCACAGGAGGGACAATGATCACTTAGAAAGGCTCCCTGCCGACCAGCGGTGGAGCTGGGACATGAACCCACTGAGCTTTAGAGCAGGTGGCTGCAAGGACAAGAAAGAAGACATTCTAAAGGGTGTGGCCTGTCTGCTTCATCACCTGGTTTCCCTCAAGGGAGATCTGTCTTCTCCAGTGTAAAATGGGCTCATTCTGCCAGCCATCTGAAAGCACCACATTGGTAACAGCATAGGTGCTGTAACTTCCGAAACCACACTGCTTGTTGCCACCCTCCACAATCTAAAAGGCACCAGTGTTGTGTAAATACTCAGTCGCTTTCCAGAAAAGTTGTTGGTACCACTTGCCATGCAAAATCTGTTTTCCATTTGGCGCAGAATCAAGTTTCCCTGTGAGTTGCTACTTAATCTGTAGCGCTCTCTCCCCTCTCCCCAAAGCTACCGCTGTGCTCCCCTGGTTCTAGGAGGCAGCTGGTGTCCCCACAGCCACCACTGGCTCCCCTGCCCCAAGGGCGGTGCCATCCCCCCAGGCGGAGGAGGGTCAGGGAGGGCACCAGCTTCCAGCAAGGCTTTATTGCTGATGCCATACCAGCTGCTGCCAGGCCCACGGCCCAGGAGAGCGGATGGAGCCCACAGTTTGTCTGAGAGGACAGCCCAATGTCTCCCCTCACCACTGCCTGTCGGGCTGGGGCCCACCCTCTTTGTTATTGTTGTTGTTGTTGTGTGCCATCGAGTCGGTTCCGACCCATAGCGACCCGGTACAGGCTTTCCGAGGGTGTAAATCTTTACGGGAGTAGAAAGCCATTAGGTGCTGTCAAATTGATTTCTTCTCATGACAGTAGAACTGCCATTGGATTTTCCAAGCTGTACTCTACGGAAGCAGATCACCAGGCCTTCTCCAGTGGGGCTGCTGGGAGTGTTCGAACAACCAGCCTTTTGCTTAGCAGCCAGGTGCTTAACCGTTTGTGCCACCAGGAGCTCCTCAGGCCACACCAGGCTTCTCCAGTGGCATCTGCCTGCTCTGTGTCCATGCTGCTCTTTAGACAACTCAGGAGTGGCCTACGCTGACGTGACCTCAACTGACTGATTCCTTTCCATTCGATTAGATAGCTCCCACAGGTATGGGGTTAGGATTCTAACACGGTTTAATCCGTAAAATAGAAAAGTTCTAATCCATGGAACTTTTAGGAGGTGGAATTCTTCCTCCCCTAGTGTCTTCCAAGGCCTCAGTGTCACTGTCAAGCGGGACCAGCAGCTTGGACCCTGGAACTTCCTGCATCTCAGTCAGTAGGAGTTTATGTTACAAGCATTCAAGTCCCTGGACCGCACCGCAGAACCTTGACTCCACCTCTGGGGACGGGGCGAGGACCGTGGGCTCTTCCAGCTCTGACGGTGTGACTTTGGAATGCTGAGTCAGCACTTTCTGGATCCTGAAAAGATCATCAAATGATTGATATCTTCGGTTCCGAAGAGTAAACATGAACATTCCCCTCAAAACGCCATACATCATGATAAAAAGCTTGCTTTCTGGACAATGGTTTTGGTTTTAATTTCGTTTGCATTTCTTAGCTATAATGCCTAATTAAGACATCTGTTAAATGTCTATAATATTAATTTAATAGAGGGGGTTCTAATAGAACTCTATTGGAATTGTCCATTTAATTAACCTCATGGGCCTTTAATGGATGTCTTAAATAGACATCATTAACAAGAGCGCTAGACAAATTAGAATTAGAGTCAATAACATTCTTGGTAATTTGTCCTGAGCTGTGAAGGACGCGTATTGTAAGTAGACAGTTGCAAAGATGACCTACCCAGAGGCAGTGTGGCAGCTGGTATCCCCAGCAGGGTCCAGAATCAACTAGACCCCACATGGGAGTCCACCTCTCTGTCCTGCTCTGCAGCCACAGGGACAGTGCTCAGGACCACAGACCTGCTTCTTCCAACATCTTTCACAGAAGCTCACCAGCCCCTGGTCTGTTGACCTGGGCTCTTTGGTGTGTGTATTGGTGAGGGGGTGGGGGGGTGAAGAAGGAAAAAAGCATGAAATGGGGCCTGAGCGAATCATTCAATACCACACAGTGCATGAATCAGGTGAGCTGGAATGGGTGGGCAAGAATATGGATAGCATGGAGAGAATTCCCCATGGAACACCTCTCACTCAGATGAATGACATCTTTCCAAAGTCACATCTCTAACTCACCGTATTTGACCTCATCAACTTTCCCTCCCTCTTAAAGTGCTCTATGCCCCCACGCTCTCCTGGCCACCCTTCCGTGTCCTTGGCTGGTGCCTCCCTTCGTCCATACTTCTAAATGTTGGAATGTCCCTGTGCTCAGTCTGTGGACCTCCCTTCTACATTCTCTTCACAGGGTCTTACCCATAACTTCAAGTACACCACACACTCAAAACCATGCCACCAACCCTGACTTGCCCCCAACTTCCAAACCTAAATAAGTTTGCTTGGTTGATGATACGTGGAGGGGATTGTAATCACAGTGATGAAACAATATACAATAGGATGACTGTATAGCTAATGTTCTCCCATGTAAACTATCACATAATTCACAATAAAACATTTTTAAAAAACAACTAAATGTGAAACTGTTAACTATCTGTCTCCCCCTATTAGAATGTTTACTCATTCCCTAAGGACAAGCCTTTTGTCTTGACCACTGGGCATCCCCAGTTACCTGGGAGCACTATCAGCCCTGAAGTAGATGCTCAGAGAATATTTGAGTGGCTGGGTAACACAGCCCACGTGACATCTCCCCTGCGTATCTAATGGGCGTCCCAACGTGCTGTGCCCAGCAGACTGACAAGCCCTCCACAGAGCCTGGCCTCACTGCCCCTCTCAGAAACCTCGCCCAATCTCTCAATAAGTCCTGGCACATCTACTTCCAACCCTCCTCACCATCTCCCTGGCGCCAACCCTCCAGTCAGCCACCCACATCGGGACCCTAACCATACCCTCCTCACAGCCCCTCCATGCTTGGCACCGCATAGCTGAGAGGATCTCTGTGAACCATGACTCACACTGTGGCACTTACTCTGCTTAAAACCCACAAGCAACTTCGCAGTACACTTAGAATAGGAGACTAACATGGCCTAGTATTTGACTTCCAAAAAAATACCAGCCATTGGAAACCCTGCGGCTGGATCACAGTGATTCGCTCCTGGCGTGTATGGGGTTGCCAGCTAGCCCCAGCACCATCTCTTGGTCTGCTTGTGTATCACCCCCTTGTCATCTAGGAAGCGTTGAGTAAATACTTGTTTTCTAGTCGAAGAGAAAAAAATTAACAAAGCTAATGACAGATAAGAGTTGGCACCTGCCTGTTATACCAGTGAGTGACCCATATGTAAACACACAGAACCTCTCATACACATACCCAGGACCTATCCACGATGGTAACACCGGGCCTGTGGGAGCCCCCACCCCAGCCTGTCTGTGCCCAATGA